AAAAATAAATAAAAATGAAAAAAAAAAAGAAAAAAAAAAAAACAGAAAAACACATACACATATACAAACGCTTGCTCGCTTTACAAACTATTAGATGTTTTGCTGGTAGATGGGAGCATGGTAGGCATTTATCCTTGGATAATAGCCAACCCGCACGCACACTCTAAACGAAAGAGAAACGAACGAACGAATATTGGGCTATTTTTTTTAATATTTTTTTTTTATTTTCTTTGTTTCCCTTTTAAGCAAAAAACTATTTGTTATAAATGAATTTGGTGCTCGTTGTAGCTTTTTGACTCGGAAAAAACGTTTACATTGTACCCTGCCGCTGTATGGGCGAAACAATGAAGCGGCAATACACGAGCAGGGTATCATTGATGGGTCTCGTTATGTTGCTTGTAAAATCATATGTAGATAGGTACGCACAGTCCGGTGTACGTCCACATAATCTCTATGCATCTATGCATATGGCTAGGTAAGTTTGCTGCTGCTGCTGCTGCTATCACCGCCGCTGTCGCCGCTATGCATCACTTACACTTTAGTCGCAAGTTTATTTAAAAAGCGCTTTTCCTTTTGTTGCTGCTTTCATGTGATCAGTGAAAAGGAATGTTTTGTATACACATTAAGCTGAAGATTCTCTCTTCTCTGTCAATTTCCTTGCTTATGCGTGCAATTGTGCATGCATGTGCCTGTTTGCTTGGATAAGTGTACGTGCTTGTAAGTGTGCGTTAACATAACGAAGAGGTCTTTGTTTAATTTATCGCACATTTTGTTATTGTTTTGTCAAGGAATTGCAAAAACAATAACAATCATAATATTTAATATTTAATGCCTAATGTTAGATATAGCCACGTGACAGTTTAGTCTTAAGCTTTCTTATCAGCATAACTGCAAAGCGCATGTTCCTCAGCGCTCCCTTATAATAAACTTTGCCTTTCCTTCCGTCGAAATTATCAAAAATAATGTTCAAATAATTACAGTGGCACGCTGCTCCACAATGATAATTAACGATAAAATGTGGTCGATGATGAGTTAACCTAAATTTTACGATAATAAAAGCGAAAGAACTCATCAATTTTATTTTAATTTATTTAAATTGATATTTAAGGCGTACGTATCTACATGACGACGAGCTCAGAAATGATTTCAATCTTAAATTACTTCTCTTGAAAACACTAAATATATGTTTCCAAATACAGTAGGTCAATAAAGTCTGCATACAGTGAGGAGAATTAAGCTTTCTTTTAGTAAAAACTCCCTTTATGGCGTATATATATTATCGAAATTAAATAACGAACATTTTATTTATTTATTTATATTTTGCATTTAAGAAAGTTAAAAACTAAAATATATATAATTACGAAACCAATACATTTGATCTAGTACTGCCTGCATAGATCTTGGCAATGAAGAAACCCAGAAAGAATTTTTTCTCCTCATATCTACACCTATCTACCTTGTTCCATTTCCTTACTAAACCTATTTTAAAGTCCGCCTACATATGTAGATATTCAATTCATGCGATATATTTTCGATTGCATTCAAATCCGATAATTGAGGCGGAGACTGCAAACGTTTGAGGAGACGTTGTAAGGTAGCCACTCGTTACTTTACAATGAGAGACATGTGCTTCGGATCGTTATCGCGCAGAAAGATTCATTTCTTTTTAGAGTTGGCTTTCAAAAGATTGAGATAAATGTGACGATCCATAAAGACCAGATTTCCAATTCCAGCCGCTGATATGCAACACCACACTGCAGCAGACTCTTCACCGCCACGCTCTACAGTGTCGAATAAATTTTTGGATTGCCATCACCAGATTAGATTTCCTCCATACTTTTTGCTTACCCTGCTATTGGAATATATTAAACTTAGACTTGTCGCATTAAAGAAAATTACGTTTTACCTAAAAGTTATATAATCAGTTTTGTGCTCGTTTTGTAAATTCGCTGAAGTTGATATCGAAATTTTAATCTAAATGTAGATACAACCCCGATTAGAAAGCGTTTGTTTGTCGGGCTGTACTCATTTTGTCGCAATGCCTGCAACATCCAAAAGAACGCTTCAGAGACCCTATGAAGTATGTATATTGTTGATCAGCATGAAATTCTGAAATTTGGAACGGAGGTTCGTATTGAAAATGGGCCAAATCGGTCAGAGCATAACCGCACAGCGACGCGTACACTTCAGGCAGTTGCCTTATTCGAAACAAAAAGTTGCGGATTTTCTCCCACTACTCACAAATCGCCAAAGATAGAAGATTGGAATTTCCCACGTTCACTTCACGAGAAACTCTACTGCTTATGTGCAATAATGGAGAAAATCGGCGCTGACCACACAAAGTTACAAATGATTAAATTTCCTTCTTTTCACTTTGTTGAGGTGTTCTGCTTTTTAATCCTAAGGTAAACAAGACGGAATGTTTAAAGCCACCTCTTATATCTTATCTGTGTGAAAATGTGTTAAATCTAACATAAATACGGTGGACACTACGACCACCTGACCGATTAATTGCTTCATAATAATACCAGAGATATGGATATCAAGTATAAGGTCTTGGAGCGTAGAAGACAACAAGGCAAGTGTGTTGATTTCAAGTTAATTATGGTGGGCGTCACAACGTAGTGGATGAATATTTTTGCCACAATGGCGTTGATATGGGTCTCAAATGACAGCACTTGGAGAGTAGAATGCGAACAACGTGTTTAAAGTGTGGTAAATCTAAATTAATTTCCACAATGGTGATAAGTTAATTTTTCTTAGCAATCCCTCTTAGGGAATAAAAGGTGAACGATAGCATGGTGGGCATGCGGAATTCGCCACCACCCGAATATAACTTTTTTTGCGTTGTAATAATCTGATATAAAAATGTAGTTAATGTTTCTATCACTTTACTATTCTGACAGAATTTTTACTGCGAAATATTTGAAATTGGACCGTTTTGCCATAGAACGACTTACTTCTTTTCGACACCACTATATGAAAGGGGGTCCTAGGTATTGGCCCTTCCGATTAAAATTTTTTACATCAATTTAGTATGTCACAATACTGTGACAGCGGCTTTTGTCGAGAATTTTTTTTCAAAAATTTCTATTTTTTCCGTAAAACGACTTTTTTCAAAGAAGTTATTATATAGCGAATGATTGAGAAATTATTTCACAATCAATAGATTCAATCCGTTTTCAATAGTCTTCGCTTTTGAGCCGGAGCACATCGATTTGACAAAATTTCGTCATGACATTGCATAAATTGCGATCTTTAGGCTGAACGCAAAAATAAATGGACAGATATTAGACGGACGGATCAAATCTTTTATTCCACTAAGTCAGCAAAAGTACGAAAGTACGGCTAATAGGCAGAAGTATTAACTTTAGCCGAATGAGTAAACTGCGAATTTCGTCCTATAAGACGGCGTTGTAACACTTACAACTTACCGATAAAAAATTCATAGCGATATTGTCCAGGTGTACCCTTAAAAGTGATAAGAAAAACATATTGGCTGACAGGAATTATTTCAATTAGAGTAAGAATTCCTTTAAAACTCGGAGAAATATTTTTAAGAATCGCTTTTTGTTTTATTAGGAGCCGATTAGAAAAAGAAAAAACAAAAAAAAAAAAAAAAAAATTAATTCGCATACCTTAAGTATATAATAATAATATAAGAAATATTTCTAAGCTTTTTTAAAATAAAGCGAGTAAACTTACTTTAAAGTAATTGATTCATTTTGATTTTGTTTGTAACGTTCATCTTTCTTATAATAATAATATATAGAATTAAGAAAATAAAGAAAAATAAAAAACGATTAGATAATGTAAACCTTTGCCGGAGGAATGCTGATTTGAAAATTGGTTGTGACGTAATAAACTTTTTGCTAAAATCTACCCTTTCTTACGTTTGCAAGTTACCCAAATTATTATTATTATTATTATTATTATTGTTATCAGATCAGATATGTCTCGGAAAGTCGGTAAAGTATCGTGCAATCGTTGAAGTGCAACCACATAGTCAGAAACTTTTTGATAGAATGTTATATGCCCTATAGGCGTGTATTCTCTGTGCAATTTATTATTATTATTATTATTATTATTATTATTATTGACTAAATTAATTAAACGAGTAGCAAGAAAATGCTTTCTACCTGAGAAGTTTTCATCATTCATGTAAAATTTACTACACACATATGGTGTTGCCTCTAATAATCAGCAACGACGGAGCATTTGCAAGCATAATCAGAAAATTTCAAATATCGACCGAACAATATATAGGAACTTGTGTTTGATATTATATCGAGTAAAGTAAAAGGGCTGAAAAGCCTGCGTTTAATTCGATTAATTCGTAGCGTGCAATAGCGCTGCTAATATTTCGATCTACCTAAGTTAATGTGTGTATTATTAGATTCAATAATTTTTATACTAATAAATATACATATATACTTTATAGTCGTATCGGGTGATATGCGATTGACTATTCGCTGTACGCTTTTTTATGCGCACTTTTATAATTGATTCTATTCGCGTATCTATTGTCGCATCGAATAACGATGCGGTTAATCGTGTCGTTCCATAAATTCTTTAAACTCTATGATGCGTTGTGTGCATGCGTTTACTGATCACCATGAGATTTCTGAGATCCGCTTCTCCAATCGTCTATATATACTTTTTTCCTTAAAATGATTAGTGAGAAAAATTAATATATAAAAAAAAAAAAAAAAAATATAAATAATATAAAAAAAAAAAAAAAAAAAAAAAAAAAAACGTCCACGCACACACCACATACTTTTGAAATCTTTTTAAATATCATTTGATTAAAATAATATACAAATTAAAGCAATACACAAGGGCAAGGCGATGAATATCAAAGCAAGCGTCGACCCTTTCGTACCTCGTGATACGTCTGCTATGATATGATAATTAAGGATTTTTAAGTGTTATAAAATTTTCTATAAAGTAAAATGTGCGAAGGAATCGAATTTTTGCCACATTCACGGAAAATTAAATTAATTGTTCCTGCTTTGCTTTACATATTAGTTACATAAGTTTCTTGTATTTTTCCCTCGTTCCGTCTCTGTCTGCTCTCTTTCACTCACAGTGTATTTATTTGTACCATATGTAAAATGATATTTTGTACTTTTTCTTAAGATGCTTGGATAAAGCTCTTTGTTGTTATTGTTTTTAGCATTCAGGATTTTTAGTTTTGTTTTTTTTTTGTTTTTTTTCTTTTTTGGCCTATGGAATGTTGTAGGTAGAACAAAGCTGCAAAGTAATTTTTTGGTTGTTTTTGTACTTTCCATCATTACGAATAGTTAAAGGTAAACTATTTATTATCATTATTTCCTGTAAGATCTTTGCACTCGTTCGCTGTTTGCGCAGACGCAGTAGACTCGGCGGATTTATTCGAATGCTTTTTCGTTCCGGAAAGCGTTTCATCCTATAAGAGATTGAAAATTTCAAAGAATTTATTTACAAAATTCGCTTTACTTTGTTGCATTCATTAACGTTTACCTTTTTAGTTGGACAATTGGCAAATAGATGGCACACCGATTTACACAGATGGCAACTTTTTGGTTGTGGTCCAAGATTGCATTTTATTGCGATGTGATTGGCAAAATTGCCGCAATTGTAGCAACGTATGCGACGATAACGTCTTCTTCTGTAATAACATTAAATAACATTACGGTAAATAAATCGCCCGAGTTCCACAATTACGATAAATTAACCGCCCGAATTCCACAAATACGGTAAATAAACCACCCGAGTTCCACAAATACAGTAAATAAACCGCCCGAGTTCGACAATAGCGTTATCGTTATTACGGTTAATTGTGTTTTACCGCTTCGGAGTTTTTAAACCGTAACTATTATACGTAAGAGATATTTATTACAATTGATTCCATACCCGTATGTCTTTTGTTATTTGTTTTTTCTTTAAAATCCATATTAATCGCATCGATTAGTTGCTTAAGGCTCTGGGCAATTTTTGCTTAAACTGCTTGGTGATTCGTCGAAAAGTACTTACCTAGCATGGGAAGGAACCAATGGCGAGTTTAAACTAATCGACCCCGATTTTGTGACAAAACCATGACATTCGGTGCCTTCATATAAATAAAGTACATAAGAGATTTACATACATACAGATATATGCCATAGTAAATTCTATTCACTTACCTTCTCTACCGGAAACACGTACGGCTTCGAGACCTCTTTCAGATAATTTGCACTCGAATTCGACCTCTTCTTGTTCAGCTAATGAACGAAAGCCGGACATTTGTATCACGCTCTTGTAATGTGTGTGAAAAAAACGAAAGAAGAAGAAACATTAATTTATTTAATTGTATGTATGTATGTATGTATGTATGTATGTACGTATGTATGTATGTATGTATTAGGAAAGTTCTAATCACCTGATGAACAAATACTTCCCGACCGCCATCGTGCGGCGTTATGAAACCCCATCCTTTGGCCACATTAAACCACTTGCATTTGCCGTAACGTACGTTTCCGATTTCGTGCGGCTTCGCCTCTGTTCGAATTGATATTGTTTTTCTTATAATTGTTTAGTATGGGTATATGGGATTGTGTGTATGTGTACAATATTCAATTTTAGAATGAGATTTTTATTCGTCCGTCCGTCCGTCCGTCCGTCCGATGTAAGTCGATATGTATACTTGTATTCAGGCTACAGGTCCCAAATTTTAATGGCTTTTGATCAAATTTAATGTATTGATAAAGTTCACGCAAACGATGAACGCTACTGAACATGGATTATATAAACGCTGTCAGTGTGTGAAAAATATTCAGGCTTATTAATAATTTTTTGACAAAAATCGATGAGGAGTAGTATAAGGATCTATTTATTGACTGTGCGAAAATTGCTTTAAGACGGACGCATTTCTTGAATCCCTGTCACATAAGCCCTCTTTTATAATTGTTATAATTTTTTGACGAATATAGGTGAAGGATAATAAATTTTTCAGAAAAAACATAGATTAACCTTTGATGAATCGCGATCGCGTCAATTCACGTTTTGGGTCCGCTTACACATAAAGGCCCTCTATTAAAAGTATACATAGGATAAAATGAATAATTTTTGAAATTTTATCACGAAAATAAATGCGGAACTATATATAGTAGGCGATCTGTGTTTTGTCGTCCGAAATCAATGACATACTGAAGATGCATAATTTTCTTTTAGGAACGCAATTCATTTTTGTGCGTCAAAATAAAGAGCAAAGGGAATATATTCGGCGTTCTTAACAAGCAACTAAATAAGCATATGCGCTTGGAAATCGTAAATGTTCGTTCATGGATCGATTGAGATCAATTTCTCGGTGTGTATTCGTGTCATACCGATGGACGTTTTTGTGTGTGCACGTGTAAGAGAGTCATTATAGTTCAGATATTCTGCGGGGAATGGATCAATTCCTTTTGTGATCAAAGACCGATCGACCTTCGTCTATGGGCATCTTGAAAATATGGTTAAATAATTAATAGCATAAAATAGTTTATCAAAGCGACAATAGTAATTGTCTAGTTTACCTTTAAGGAGCCAATAGCCTTAGTTGATAGTGCTCATCTTATATATACCTCCGCCAGATCAGATCATTTTGTAACGAAAGACGGACATTGTTATGCGATCAGGTCAAATTAATTGCGAATTGCTTAACGTTACAAACGAAAATGAATGATATCGTTATCGTTAAATGGCCGATGTCAGACACTAGGAAATATGTTCCTTGATTTTGTTGGTAGGGATTGACAAAGTATTTATTGTATGTTTACAACATGCACGGGAAACATAATATTTTGTGCGATTGTGTGTGTCGTTGAAGTCGCAATAATGTTCAAATTTACTTTAAAATTTGTGTCTCTTTATGTATGTGCGTACAGATGTTACTTGTACATACACAGTAATAGGGATGTGAAGGTGTGCCGATTTTGTTACACTGTTTGTCGCAACGCATCGGGGAAATGCGCAAAGCCTGATATGACTTCGATATGTGTCTCTCTTCGCTTCATTTTCGTATTCTCAGCATCTCAAAACTCGAGATTGATTATTAAAGTTTAACTCGTGCGCTTTTAATTTTAATTTTTATAAAATTGCAAATTTATTACATATAATAAGGTTATAAGTGATGATGATGATGACGATGATGGTGTTTATGATAAGAGAAATATTTCCATTATTAATTTTTATAATAATTAAAAAATGGTTTTAGATCTACGGACAAGCTTTATATAAAGGCGTAACCGTTTGAGATTGAAATGATCCTTTTGGTACAATCTCAACTTGAGCAAATTGTACCCATAAGCCTTTAGCCTTAGCGTTGATTATCTACGAGAGTCGCTCAGGCGTATACAGCTCTTATTTATTTTCTATTATTCTATTATTCAATTTTCTATTAATGCTATCGCTACGAATATACATATATATATATATATATATATATATATATATATATATTGTAGTAAAATGAAGATTTCGTATCTAGTTTATAAACTAGTTTGCCCTATTTTCCAGTTTGTTTGCGAACTCATGTCTTCATTCTTCTTTTTTAAGATGTTTGCTATGTGGGACTCTCATACTATTATACACATACACACATCTATATATATATATATATATATATACATTATTATATGTGTGCATGTGTATGTGCGTACATGCATGACGTAGTTATTTCGAAAAGGAATTAGTCATAAAACTAGTTTATTTTACGAAAACATAAATATATATATATATATATATATATATATATATATATATATATATATATTTCTACCATCCATTCAAAGTATTTATACATATGAGAGTACGAGGGTTTTTAAGAAACTATGGAATTTTATGAAAATTTTGTATGAATACTTGTTCGGTACATAGATCAGATTATTTACTTAGACCAGCACAGCAGAGAGACAAAATTCATAACAAAAGTATGTCTTTTGAAGACACAGCATACAGACATAGATGAAGGTTTTTCTTTTGTGATCTATTTTTCACGTAATTTAAGCTAATATTTGATGAACCCATAGCCTTTTTCATGTGAAATTCTCGCAAGGATTTACAGTATAAAAGCTTTCGCTTCTATTCTCATCAAATACACGCTTTTATTTACTATTTTAGCTTGCATACACAGTTTGCATGTACAGTAAAATCAAAAATGTTGTTAATGTTTGGGAAAATCGCATACAAATATATTTTATTTTATTAAATAAACTGGTTTGTTATCAATTATTCATTCTTAAAGAGTTTTCGAAAGTGCATATACACACACACACACCATCAAAAGCACATTTCGTTTTCTACATAATTTCTTTCATAATGATGTCGAAAGGCGAAGAAAATTTAAAAATATATTTACGTGAGTAAATAAATTTCTCTTTTTTTTTTATTTTTTTTTTACTCTCACCTTATAGAAGACCGGTGAAAAATGTCTCGTAAGGGATTTATATATGCATTGTTTTGAGATGATCAACAAATAAGATTCGTCGAAGCATGGATGTACTTTATGGTAATACCCCACTAATCGAGCATTGCTTCTTTATTTAGATTACGAAATTTTTGAGTTTAAGATGAAGTTGATCTGTTTTGTCGTGATGTACGATTTCAGCAGACGGACATATAGATTCTATTAGAGCGTTTCCTCATTTTACTCTGATCAAATTGGGAAACAACAAATATGTGATAAGACAAAATCAAATGAAAATTGATTGCGACGAATATAGGAGATGTATATATATATATATATATATAAAAAAATATAAAAAATAGGAATAATATCTTACCTTCTGGTTGCTGTTGGTCTTGCTCTTCTTCTTCACCGACATTATTAGGATTTATCGTCTCGTTATCGCTGTCGAGATTAATTTCCTGAATTTTGTCCTCAATTTCTAATATTTGTTGTTTTGTGTTTATTGATAGATTTTCATAATTTGAACTGTGGTGCGTGACTAGTGTTGCACTGATATTATTGTTATTATTAATATTCATTTCACTCATTATGATAATAGATAAGCGAATAGTCTCTGCAGTTATAAAATGTTATTTCTTTAAATTATTTATTTTTT